AAAAATCACAAGACTAACCTGATAAATGAACTCTAATTGACATATAGATATCAGACTTCACATGAAAATAAAAAACAATTGTAACAATCTAGGAAAAAATGTTTACCGAATGGTTTAAATGCGGTATTAATGAACCAACCCGGCTTAAATTTGATTAAATATAATATTCTGAGAGCAACAACCAAGCACACTGCTTCCATCTGCTAGACAAAAGGATCCACTCAACCGCATTTTTATCCAGCCTCGCCAGCAGCTTTAATAATTACTTGAGGATTATTTTCCGTCTTTAAATTATTATATTTTCTCACAAAGTTTACATCATCAGTAATATTATGCCTTGAAGTGAGTAACAAAAAATAAACATTTAAAATTAATTTCTTGAATTTGCGTCATTCATGTGAAACATAAGTAGTCACGCTTCGACTTTCTAAATAGGCAGAGTTTTTAATGAAATTATCGCCGGCATATGTTACACTTTCATTTGCTACGCTTTTGAAACAAAAAGTGGTAAGCTAAATTTTAATTAATCCAAATAGCAGGTGGAAAAAGGATAAATACAAAATAAAACTTTCAAAAGCCGTGTCTCATCATTTTAATAAAGAAAAGTGTGAGTTCAAGAGCTTAATAAAATGAATCGAATGTCTTGGAATGCCGATTTCATTTTACGTTCTTTGCAAGTAACCAGATTCGAGGTAATATTGCATATATACCAAATAATAATAGGATTACGCAATAAAGTAAGGAAAAGAATTATCAATATCTCAAGCAATTTGAAATCGTATAATTACATATTTTTTTACCGTTTTAAGCCAAATTAGTGATAGAAAAGCGAGCTCCCAATTCAATTACAGCCAAAGSGAAATTCATGGAACATCACTTTAAGGATGAAAAACTTAAGCAATGAAAAGCTTTTGTTTATTCTCGCCTAATGAATGTAGAGGCAGCACCCTTACCCTCACTATAAATGCTTTACAAATATATATGCTTATATATCATATACATATATAGTATGTATATGTAAAATGTATGTTAGTGCTTTAGTGAGAAATTACGGGAATTTCGTGCTGTCGCTACCTCTGCAAGTCAAACGGAAGCAATTTCGAAAGCAAAGCCGGAAAAATGGGAAAACAGCATAAAAAGTTAATATAAAAGAATAATAAGTGGAACGACGAAAAACGCACAAAAAAGCAATGAAAGCGAAATTAAAATAAAACAAAAGAATTCTGCAGGGACAACGGTTTTAGCATAGCAAACCTTTATTCCCCATTTTTTCCACATTTAGCATACTTTCCGGCGTCTATAAAGGGCAGACGGTCAGTTTAGTAATTTTCACAAACAATTTGGGCAACAAAGGTTGAATGGAAAATATTCTTAAATCCTTAAAGCAAAAGTGTAGATGTACCAACATAGCCACAAAATAATACTAAAATAAGTTATGATTTTTATAGGTAAAGTTGAAAACCGAAAAATATGAATTACCACAGTTCAAATTTTATTTTGAAAACTAGCTGAATGAAGTTGAAGTTGAATTTATCATTTAATTTTTTTTTTCAATGGAACGTTGCTTGATAAACCACATTTTTTGGTTTCAGTTTCGGTGTACATAAAAGATGGTTTCCAAACTCGTGAGCACGCCACGTACATATATCAGACCGTGCGAAGAACATAGTACCTCTGAAAATTTCATCAAGATTGGTGCAGCCGTTCTCTTAGCGTTACTAACAAACAAACATTCGTTGGTTTGTATGGGAAAAAGAAAAGGGCTGTTTTTAGGGGTTTCCCGGAAATTATTCGAAATTTTCTTACCGTAAAAACTATCTTTGAACCTCAACGGCCACATTAAAAAAAAAATTATCAAATTTGGTTCAATCGTATGAAAGTTATGAGCGTATATGTATACATTTTGACGATTAATTTTTATTTATATAGTTTATGTGCACTTCTTAAAAATGTGTTTGAAGTAAAAAATTAATAAAGTTTTATGTGAACGCATTATAGAAAATATAAAATTAGCCACATCAATAAAATTTTCGGTGGTTAAAACTTCAATTTAAATAAGGTAATACCAATACCATGCCAATACAATAAATGAAAATCTCTAAATACTTTAAACAACACAAATGTATAATTAATATATTATGTTCATACTATATACTGCATTTTGCCCAAAATCACTATTTTTTCTTTAGTCTCCAGTACTTTCCTTACAGCAGATTACAATTCTTAGCCATACATATTTTATGGCTTGGCCTGGCTTTATATTCAGWATTAGACGAATGTGTTAAATTTACRTGACTAACACAATTTCCGCATTGCATACGTTCTTTGTGCCAAGCCGCCTCTGAAATCTCAAAATATGCCTTCAAATTAGCAAGCGTTTACAGTAAGTCGCTCAAGCGGAAGGCATATGTATATTTGTGCGTGGGATATCTTCAAAGACTATATAAACACACAAAGTAACAGGAATCTCACTATATGATGAAAACTTGTACCTACTTTTCCCAAACTTCATATTCTGCTACTTACTTAACGTGTTTAGTAAATTCYTGTTTGTACAAGTATGTGTGAAGACTTGTCGTCAAGGTGTTTATGACATTCCGYGTCGTTGTGACGRGCGACTGGTGCCCCGTATTCGAGCAATGCAGCGCCATGTCAAATTGCTGTTGACAAGCGTCATTGTCAACCGAGCAGCGACAAACGCTCCCGAAGGAAAGAAAATCATGACAGGCGTCCTGAGAACTGGGTGCCATCTTCATATGCTGAGTGCTGTCAAATGAAATCTTGACTCGCTGTCAATCTTATACGCTGAATTAATGCGGCTTAAGATTTCTACAATAAGTAAAACTGTACTTACAAATGTAGTACAAAAAGACACATGTATGAATACATATATATTTACAAGCAGTTATGCAAACACTTTTGGCACAGAGAAAGCACTCTCGTTTAAGCGAAAGCATTTAAAAGTCTTTTATCTTGTTTTTGTCCAATTTCGTGTACAACTTCACAACAACAACAAATGGGCTGAATAGCAATTTCAATTTGCGAATAACTATTGCCAAAATTAGATTGCCCCGCACCGAGGCTTATCTAAAATGCCGTTGAAGTTCACATGAATATTGACGGCGCGGTTGGCTGTTCGCAGTGGCCGTAGGCAGTAGTTTAAATTGGGTTTCAGCTTCGCGTTAGACTCCTTTGACACATTCTCATTTCACATATAAGCTATACTCATTCGAAATCGCGCAATACGGCAGAGAGCAGAGCAACCCAGCGGAGCACGTAGGACACTAGAGAGTGTCTTTAGATTTTATCGATATGTCAATAGCGTATATACATGTACAAAGTATATATTATATACTCCATAATTTGTTCTCAATACTACTACCTTAGCTATAGCCCCTTTTGSTTCAATAAGCAATCTTTATAAACAAACTGAATTAAATACTTCCTAAAGGGTGTCTTCTGACAATGTGACAAACAAGCTAAYCGCAGATGAAAGTTTGACATCACTACAGTTTACTACTAGTGTTGAGCATCATTGATGAGTCGCAGAACGTTGAGAATGCAAATATTTTGTAYGATAACAGCCAGGAGGCATCCCATTCCATACGCATTTTTGGTTCATTTTAGTATCGCATACTAATTGATGTTATGTACGCTATCTGCATGGCAGAAAATTTTAAATCGAATTGCATGAAATTCTTTAGAAAGCCGAAATAACCTTTTATTAAATTTAAAAAGCGCTATACAAGTATATACATGTTAATGTGTCATTCAGTTTGTACCCTTAACTTACCGATTTATGGAAGTTATTTAAATATATTTGACTGCGTTGAATATACAAGTAGAAGCTGTATTCGTGTTTTATATAAGAATAAGTGAATATATCTCTATGTTGTAGAAATGTAAGATATGTATATGTATGTAGTACAATTATAGCGAAAATAAATACATGTATATATAAAAGATATAAGTAAAATATACAGAAAATTGATATGACATCTGTCCTTTCAAAATGTGTAACACTAGAAAGTTTGTTATATTATTGAGCATGTGTAACTCCTTGTAACCTTCTAATTAATTTTTTATGCAACAAAAAATTTTAAGAAAATTTTGACTTTTATTATGTGATGGAAGTTAATATGTCTCTCAAAATAAATTTTATGCGCACCAGTAAGTTTTTGCGTAGATATGTGTAGATGATATCATCTATTTGCGCATGGCAACGGCGAATACCGCAGTCGATGTTCAGTGACATTGACAAGCTGGTCTGGATAGATCATGTCGTACGTATAGACCACTTTGAAAGTATTCGACGCAGTACCCGTCGGGGAAAACAGAGGAAGAACTAAACTCCGTTGAAAAGACCAGGTGGAGGAGGACCTGACTTCTCTCGTAATCTCCAATTGGCGCAATCGCCATTCATTTGCTTATACAACAAACATACCCACCTGTGAGTAAATAATTTCCAAATAGCAATGCAATCAACAATGGCTATAAAAACTGTTTATATTTGCACTTTGTTGTGGTCCATCATATGATCTGTTTCATACCACAGAGTGAATGATTGTCTTGAAATAAACGTTTGAAATACTACCCAAAATGCTTTAGAAGAGTAGAAGTACAAAAGATTCCTTAACTCAGCTTTTGTCATCGATAGTCAAAGTGAAGTAGTACAAAAAGTTGGTTAAACATTTTGTCAATTGAGTTACGAATATTTTAAAAATCACCATAAATATAAAAATGAAGTAATGAAATACTCTCAAGCTACACTTTAACTCTTTGAGACCGAAACTAAAACGGTCTTAAGACATTTTAATGCAAGATATCGCATATTCTCCTTCCAAATTTTCTGAAAACTAATTTTATTTTCAGTTCAACAATCAATTGATTTGATTTAGTTTGGAAATATTTCTTTGAGAAGCTACAACTTCTGGCTTAAAGTCAAAAATAAACTTACATTTTCTCTAACTTAAATACATAATAATAATAAGTGCACTAACCTGCATAAAATAGCGGCAGCATGTTGAAGATAATGATGAGTGAGAAAAGAGCGCGTGACAGGGCTTGCAGGTCGGCCACGGCAAGCAGAAGCTTCGAACGCACAGAGCAACACAGCGTAGATAGAATTGTGCCGCAACCGCCACCAAAGTCAGCATCAACTGCAGCAGCTCTTTCCAAATAGAGTTCGTTCGCAACACCCCTCTTGTAGAACAATTTGCTATTTTTGTTGCTTTTGTATTGAAATATACTTCGTTGTTCATTTGTGACTTTTGCTGTTGTTGTGGATTGTGATTGCAAAGGTGTTGCAGTTGTTGCAGTTGTTGCTGTTTGTGGTTGTTTGAGTAGCTGAGGTGCAGCATTGCAAGAGAGCGACCAGCAGCTGTCGGCAAGCAGCTGAGAAAATTCTTGGTTGGAGCCGTTTGAAAGACCGCTGAGTTGTAGTTGTTGTTGCTGTTCGATAGCATTTCTGGAAGATTGGCGTGTACATGACGAAAAGATATGCGAATTGCAGCAGCAATCGCATTCCCCAGCTGCGTGGCAGTCTCTGGCAACGTTGTGTGTTTCGCTTTGTTTCGTTTCGTTTGATTGGCAGCATTTGGTTTTGTTGTTTGTGTTGTTATGTTTCTCCTTTGTTTGTGCACAGTGCGTGTAAGCAATAGCTTGTGACCGCTGTCGAGCGCAATTCCTTGTAGATGTTTTGCGTAAACTTGCAATAACACCAACAAATTTGTCGGCAACATCACTGCCCAGTCCTTGTTGTTGTTGGTTGGCGTTAGACACACCTGCACTTGACATATTTGCAATACCTTTAGCTCTTGTCCATTCACACAACAATGCTCCGCTTCTGCTTTCCGAATGCCAACGTTTTTGCTGTTTCTGTTGTTGTTGTTGCAGTCTCTGAGGGCGTTCTGCTGGCAAGTCACCGTAGCTTTCTGCGCTTTCACTTTTGCTTCTGCCTCTCCTACCACTGTCCACGAAACGAAACGTATGAATATCATCTGCAGCTTCGTGTGATTTCTGTTTCGGCGACAGCGTCGGGTCTGTTGGCCTGGAGCTTGGTCGCTTTGTGGCAGCAGTTGGTTTCCATGGCGTTGGCGTTTCAAAACTGTTATATACCCCTTTGTTAACTTCGTTTGCAGTACTCTCATGCAGCACCTGTAGCTTGGTTCTATGCAGTTTCTGATCGTTAGTCGGCTCTTGAAGTGGCGTCGTGACCGCGTTGCTGTGACCCCAAATATTGTCGACTGTTGCAATGGGCGGCAGACAATATGATAACAATGCCGTCGATATTGCTCTAGATGCCTTTGTTGTTGTTGTTGTAKTTTTACTAACAGCTGTTGCTGATGACTCGTCTGCAAATTGTTTCCGCTCGTTAGTGATGAGACATGCCTCTGGTGTGCCGGAAGTGTTTCGCTCGTAACAATGTTGCGGAATTGTTGTCCCTGTTGTTGTTTTTGTGGATACCGCTGCCGCTGTTTTAGTTCTAGTGTTGCTGTAGTATTGTAATATATGTGCTGAGGCCATGTTGTGCCCTATTCACCGACGACATCGATTACATCAAACCGGAAAAGGATACCAAAAAGAGAACTTCAGTTAAAGGTTTATAAATAACGAAATCATAAAGGTTAATACAAGCCTAAGATAAATTAAAATGACAGTCAAATTTACTTGATGCAATTTTAATTTTTCATTCTTTTTGAGAAAAATCTTACCGACAATCAAAKGATTTTTCTTTTATAAAACTAAAAYTTTTTTCAGATATAAATAGGCGTGAGCTATGTTATGATAAGGCGAAAGTAACTGCTTTAATGAAGCGATAAAATTAATATTTAATAAAACACATATAGGAACTAGCCGTTGTATGAAGCTTAGAACTTAAGTCAATAAATATCAATTTTAAACGTACCTTAAACACTATTTATATTATAATACATTTGAGAGAAATAAGATGTCATTTATTTTACATTTCCTTATTTTAGCWGCAAGTCTTCATTAACTTCCCATTTCAACCTTTTTTACAATCACATCACAAAGTTCTTATTTACCCTTTAGCACCTCTGACTGCCTTGTTGACATTACACGGCCGGTTAAATTTTCCTTTGAGCCAATGAATGAATGAAGTCGATATGTTGTCTTAAGTGTACAAATCTCTTTTCAATGTGTGTGTGTTTAACAGTTTTTGTTTAAGATTTTATTCTATTTTCACATCGTTATTGTTTCTTGCCCTAAACGCTTTCGTTTTCCATTCTTTCCGCCTTTGTCGTTCCAAACTTTTCACTTTGAGAATATACATGCAAGAACCCATTGAAATGAGTGCGTAAAGATATTAAGTTTTATATGTCATTGGAGAGGGGAACTACTCAGTCGACCTTTTCGTTGAACAGTATGAGTAGCTTTTGAAAAAAATGGTTTTATTTATTATGTATTAAAGAGCTCCGTGAGCGATATGTAATACGAACTGACTGTTGAATGTTGGAGGTAATTACGTATTGACAGAAATTTTAGCATAAAACAAAGTGAAAATGCAAAACATAGATCAAACCTTAAGGGGTTATATCGCGTAAAAAACCGCCTTTTGTCGACAATTTTTTTGTCATTTAAAAAGTGAAATATTTTATTAGAAATTTTATTGTTACAAACATACACTTTTAATAAAGAAATTAAGAAATTTTTTTAAAAAATTATTTTAAACTTCGTCACCGCTTTCAGTGACCCTTCGGAAAAAAGATGCAACCGCGTTGGCAGGATAACTCCTACAGGATCATCTCAAGAAAAATAATACGTAATTTAGTTAAAATCTTAACTTTGAACTTGGTCAAAGGAAAAAAATAATTCAAATTTGATTTATGGCGGACATTTTTCCAAAAATATATAACTTCAATGAAAATATCGCGACATTTTTTTTTTTTCAAATAATTGTAATCGGAAAAAAATTCTTCTTCTAAGACTTTTAGAATTGAATCTCAAAGACCTGTGTAAAATTTCATGAAGATCGAATAGTTCTCGATACATCTTGCCATCCGACTTCAAAAATAAAGTTTCGAGATAAAGGCGTTTAAAGTCGGCGCACTTACATAGTCTACCTAGCCTCGAGCGCACAAGTTCTTAAGGTTGTAATTTCGAAACGATTACTCGGATCAACTTAGGACAATATTCTAGAGGTGTTGTAGAACTTAATGAAATAATAAAAAAAAAAATCAACTTTTTTGAAACTCGTAAGCCCATTTAACCCTTTAAATAATCTCTATTTCGTCAATAAATCACTTATCGGCTAACCAAGAACTGCATATTAAGCAAATTGGCGATTTGATTTAGTTCGCTTCTAAAAATTAAACCATTTTACCACAGGCGAAAGTAGTAGCGCTAAAACCAACTATTTCATTATTTTAAAAAATGTTTTAGCAAATTTCGTTCGTTTAACAATGAACAATGAAAAAATTACAGTTTCCTTCCTTACAAAGCTCACCGAAAACTTCGCATTCTATAAAAGTTTATATACACTAGCTTATAAAAGTTTGTAAGCTTTTTTATAAAAGCTTACACTTGCATGCTTTCAAACCGCTTGCCCAACTTTATAGCTTCCTAAGCTTTATAGTGCAAATAAGTTTAAATTGTAAAAGCTCTTGCAATAATTGTGAAAAGCTCCCCTTGTACGTTTAGTAAACACTTTTATCCAAGATGGTATAGTTCTCCAATAATGCATGAAAAGAATACACTGCGCGACACTTTAGAAGTAATACATTTTTAGCCAGTACAAATAGCGTTTGATTAAAAAAATGTATGTGACGATTTAAAGCCTATTACATAGTTTCTATACTTTTGCAACATGTTGCATACTCTTCACCTAACGATTGTTTGTACAACGTAAGGCTAATCGACCTGCTCAACCGCTTTCAACCAACTTCGGTGCAAAACATTCGTCTAACTTCGCACTTAATCAGATCCAAATTTGTAGGTGACAGACGGCAGCTATTCGAGTTTGGATTTCATGTAAACAGCTGATTGTCATTTTGATAATATTTTCCATGAAAATGTATTGAAATAAACATTGCGGTTTGTAGCCGACCAATTGTTACAAAATCATTTATTATGACAAAAGCATGTCAACTCGTTATTTTTAAAATTACATCATAACATAAATCTTCTTGTTTTCTTATGGAAAATTTGAAAAGCAGCTGTCAGTGTTGCTTGTTATACCTTGAACAGGGTATACTAAGTTTGTCACGAAGTTTGTAACACCCAGAAGGAAGCGTCGGAGATCCAATAAAGTATATATATAAATGATCAGTATGTTGAGCTGAGTCAATTTATCACTGTCCATCTGTCTGTATATATACAAACTAGTACCTCAGTTTTTAAGATATCGTTTTGAAATTTCGCAAACGTCATTTCCTTTTCAAGAAGCTGCTAAATTGTCGGTACTGCCGATATCGGACCACTATAACATATAGCTGTCATACAAACTGAATGATCGGAATCAAATGGTTACATGGGAAACTTCCTAATTTGATGATATATGTTCACGAAATTTGGTATGAGTTATTGTTCATGGAAATATTGTAATATCGGAAGAATATCGATTCTATTATTCAGAGTGTAATTTATTTAGTCGGTTACAAATGAATTTTCTTTTATTTATATTTCAGAGTCGATTATTTTATCTTCCCAACTTAATTTTGAAGTCGATTGAAATATACAAAAAATTTTCTAAATATTTGCCAGTAAATGTGTTCAATTATTCGACCTTTTTTGTGATTATTGGCATTTGATACAACCACAACTATGCACCTAGTATACAATAGTCATAAAAACTTAACAGGATGGTTGACTTTAAGTCCCTCATCAGTAGTTTTGGTCAACTGCGAACGACTGATAATTCTTAGTTTCATGTGAAAATAGATCAATACAATTTGCAGAACAAACTAGTTATATTATCTATACTACTTGCTCATGCAACTGATAAAAAGATGCAAATGGTAATTCATGGTGGCATGCTACCAACATTCTTACTACCATTTTAGCTGGGCCATTCTCACGTATTTTCCAATTAAATCGACACACACATCTTTCATATAAGCATAAGCACATACATATATCTTCATATCTGTGTAATCAAAATGCAGGTGAAGTGCACAAGAGCAAATGGCAACAACACCACCGACACAAGCGAAAACCTCCACAATGTGTAACTGTCCAGTTATCGTGTAAATCTGTTTGTTTGCGTGTGCCAGTGCGGCTGAGTGACTGGAATTGCAACTACAAGCGGCGACAGTGTTGTCTCGCCTTGCTTTCGTCTCAGTCGCTTAATCGCATCAAGCATGCAAATGAGATCCGTTCATCAGAGTGCGCTTTTAATTATTTAACTGGCGTACAAACGAGCACACGCAGACAGACACACGCCAGTGCTTGGCCCAGCAATTAGGTCAATTGTTTACCTTCACGCAGGTATTCTACCGCAGCCGTTTGCACTGGCCACCCCCCCCACTGATAGCCACACATTTGCAGTTTACGTGTCTGCTACCAATTTCCACACTCGCAGCAAGCGCGTTGAGTGTATATGTATACATATTTGAAAAATTTAGTTTGTGGAACCAATGAAGGATGATTATTTATTTTTTATTGGTAAAAAAAATTAACTTTTACTTATATTTATAAGTAATTTATTTACAATATCACAAAAAGTCAGTTTCGTTAAAACGGTTCATTCACTCACTTGCTTACTCACTAAGCTCATTGAAATCTTGCTCGCCCCAAATTACAAAGATTGCAATCTCAAAAGTGAATGAGGGCATGAATCCGAAAATTTTGCCGAAAAATTGCAACTATAGTTCACGTCTACGCGCTTCTAATTAAATGTGAATTTTTGCTTACTTTGCACTCGATTAACCCCCAAGCATGCTTCCTCTTCTTTTCTATACACCCTATACATGTATGCACAGAAACATCCGTTGGCGGACAAGCAAAATTGTTAGCATAGCTGTTTCTGGATTTTACTTATATATTCATATGAATATGAAGTAGGCTTCCCATTTTCGGCGCTGTTGCCAACGGCAGTGGTGAGTAATGTGGACCATTGCAATAGCGGTTGCACTGCATAAATCAACCGCAGCAACATGACACAATAGCAAGGCAGCAAAAGCGCAGAAGTGGAGCGCACAAAGCGGCTAGATAATGGACGCCAAAAGCGGCCAAAAGAGGGCTTGCAAGTGTTGCAACACCATAAAAGTATTTCTGTATGCAAATGGTGTGTGTGTGTGTGTACGATGAACGAATGAATAGGCTGAGATTTTTCCTGCTGTTGCCAGTTGGCTCCGCCGAAATTTCTTTGTACTGCTTTTGGCATGATGCCGGATTCCATGCCTGAGCCACCGAATGCCTGAGCCTTGTATTATTCTATATATAGGTATATGTTCTTTGCTGCTCCTCTGAGTTCAGTGTGAAGTATGCTACTTAAATTAAATTCGCGTAAATTCACTGATTAAATACAGATTTTTTTAAAGTGAAACATTTTTTTTACCTAACAAAATACAATTATTTTCAAATTATAATTCTTTTCTTTTTGATTTATATACGCGTTAAATAAATCATCGTTATATGATAGTAAAAATCCAGCCTGAATATTGTTAGAATTTTACACAATTTTTAACTTTCCGTTAATCGTGTTCTATTGCTTTGTGAACTCAGTTTCATTTCTCTTCGCTTTTTAGTGAGCCAAATTTTCCGTTCATAATTATCACAAAAAGCTATATAATGCTACTTACATATACATATGCATATTTATTTTTTACAAGTACACTCTTCGTTAAACGATTTTTTTGCTCGGCTTTCATTCAGTTTTCTCGCGTTGCACTTTCTGAGCTCTTAAATATGAAGTATACTTTGCACTCGTCTGTTTCTCCTAATTAAAGCCAATTAAATACTTCTGTATATGGCAATTAGCTCTTGAAGATTAACGCTTAATTTTTGCTGAATACGAAAGCAATCATGTTAGGTGTGGAAAGGTGTTTGCCCAGTAGACGGGAATCTGACATTTTCTTGTTTTATAAAAATTTGTAAAGTATGTTCAGGATAGACGTATGTCTATCATAAAGTTTATGTATTTAAAATGTTTATTCAGTGAGCTACATCTCTTAACAGTATTTGTCTCATGGTCAACGACGATATAAAGAATATAAGCTTATTATGCAACAGCAAGCAAATATAATTTTTTAAATTTCATTACTTTCAGGGGTAGATTAGGAGCACTTTCTGAGTTGAGAAAGTTTTTATAAGACATTACTATTTTGAACTGCATTAAATTTTCTGCCAGAATTATGTCTATTTTACAATACTCAAACGTCAAGCTACAACATAGGTTGCCTTTTTTATTTCGAGATTGGAGCAAAAAAAAATTTGATAATCGAAGATCACTTTATAGGTTTTCAAAATATTCTCTATTAAGATCTAATTGGTTGTGACATGATCATTCGTTCCAAGAAAAAAAAGTAACCATTTCCTTGAAAGTGCTTCATGCGCGAACAACTTTTTTTGGATTAGGCTCATCTTAAAACACCCATATTGGCGAGTGCGGTTTGAGTGCGGTACCTTTTGATCATAGGCGATTCGATGCTTCGCTATCGTATTTTTTTAAATAAACACAATCGTTTTTAGCGACTAACAAATTGTGTGGGCTCCAACGTGAACACATTTTTTTTTTTTAATATTTTTTGGACTGAAATGTCTATGCAATATTGAAGGTATGGTTTGCTGGTCCTTCTAATGCCTATAGTTGTCTCTAGCTCATGGTAGGTCCCAAGACGATTTAGCAATATTGGCATCAATAGTTTCCATAACAACAACCGATTTTGGACGACCTTTACGAAATTCATCTTCAAGTGATCTACGACCTCTATTGAAACACTATACTATCGATAAACACTGGTTCTTGATGGAGTTTCATCGCTAAATATTTAATCGATGAACTTACTRTTTGCTTAGCTGAAAAGCTGTAAAACGTAATCACACGAAAATGTCTACAATTTAATTCCATTATTAGCCGAGATGAATATCTCAAGTTGCTTTAAGCAACGTAAACAGCGGTCGTATATCAAAACATACGGAGGATGCATAACATCAAAAATGTCAAACTTTACGATAAAGTTGTTAGTCACCACCATTCAACGCTAGGGTCGGCAAATTCCGAAATGTGAAAGCAACCTTCGTAAATAAGAAAAGCTTATTTTTTGTGCCCAATATAGTTTATGGTGTATGGAAAATGGAAAATGGAAAATTAGGAATTTTCGCTAGTTGGCGCTGAAAGCGCGTAGTTCTAGTTTTATTCGTCGCATAGGGTCATGCTTACCTTTTTGGAAAGCTCATTTCACGCGCTAACATGTGTTTGATTGATTGTCGATTCTTTTAAGTCGTTCGTTAGTTATAGCGTCGCAAACATGGAGCAAAATAAAGGGAAAATACGGCATAGTTTACAGTACTACTACGATAAAGGCAAAAATGCATCTCAAGCCGCCAATAAAATTTGTGCAGTTTATGGATCCGATACAGTTTCCATTTCCACCGCACAACCATGGTTTCAACGTTTTCGTTCTGGTGTAGAGGTGGTCGAAGATGCGCCACGCTCCGGAAGTCCTTTCGTCGAAAATTGCAATAAAATCGCTGAATTGGTCGAAAGAGACCCGCATAGTAGTAGCCGTAGCATCGGTCAAGAGCTGGGCATGGGTCATCAAAAAAATTTTATGAACAATTGAAAATTCAATAAAAATACCGCAAGACTTTTTTGACAACCTATTATTATAAAAGGCTTAAATTTTAAGATGCTTTTTGTGTCACTTTCGACTAGTATGTATTGCGTTGACTGCTTTATAAAAGTGCGGAGAAAGTTAAAGTTAAAATTATGAAAACTTAATATTACGTGTGTATGAAGCAAATCAGTGTGCCCAAACCATCTACAGTTTCTTATACAGAGGGAAATAGTCGTAATCGCGATGTTCGAACCAATACAGTCAACGCATTGGAAGAAATGCCTTTAGAAAACGGAAAATTATATCACCCAAAATAGATATATTGATCAGATATAAAACAAAATTATTCGAGGCAATCATCACATGAAAACTTGCTGACGGTCAACTGTCATCTTCTGACAACGCGCTTCAAACTAACTAGACTCAACAGAACAGAAATTTATTTCAGGGTCAAGCAACATAAAAATATTATTTTTACATAAAGAAAAGACTTTGTTGAAGAATTTGGACTGGATTACATTTTGTAGTTTGGAGAACATAGTCTGTGTAGTACCCCATAGAAATCTGGAGAGTCTCAAAAAGCCTTTGTTTCTAGTAGCGCTGTCAATACCAATAAGAAGTTTGGGTGCCACTATTGAACAAAATTTGTACATTGCTCTCCTAATATATGAATTTTTAAATAAAACTAACTTAATTAATTAAAATTTATTAGAACTTGTAGCAGAACTTTTGGCAGTACTAAGTGTATCAATGAAACTGCAATTAATGACGCTTTTGAGATATGTTTATGTTTATGTGAATATGTTTTCAAGAAATTTCTATTTAAGCAAATATAAGTATACGTTAGCAAAAGAGTTACAATATTTGGTAATAAAAAACATCAACAGCTATAAAAAAATGGAACCAGAGTTGAGATTCAATACAAAATAACCCCAAGCCAAAAACATTAAAACACTTTCTTATGCCGTCATGGTTGAAAAGATAATACGTTGTTGTCGTTGATAACGCTATTTCAACATTTATGTTCGTCCTTCTATTCCATTCCTTTCTCAAAGAAAGAACCCAACGAATTTGACATACTGGACATCATAATACTATAAAATTATAGGCATTTCAACTGATTTGTTTGAAAAATATTTACAACGAAAACTGAACTCAACGGCATTTTATTCGAGAATGACTTTTAAACTACGTACTTGTGGTGCAAAATAACACGGAAGCAGCATTAATAATGTATTAAATAATCCTTATTAAGTGCATTTTATGTTTAGATTGTCATAAATGTCGTCATAAACTTACCATATCGTCTGCATTAGAACGTTAGGGTGCAACACTTCCTAATCACCGGTTTTGCGAATCTGAAAAAGTACAAAAAAAAAAATTATTTATTTAAGTACGACAGTTTTCTATAATAATCGGTTTAAATTCATTGCAATCATTTAAATTTTCTTGTAGTGAATATTACAGTAATATCCGTACTCTTCCTTGGTGCCGGTCACTCATTAATATGCACAAACTTGAGGTACGAATTACGTGGCTAACTTTACTATTCGTGCTTACAATGCACATAATTGATTAAAATTATAATTCAGAATTCAGCTTTCAGCTTTTGACTATCATAGCATCGTAACCGACCAAAAAGCCACCACAACGGAACCTGAAGAAACACTTTCACCGTTAAAGGAAGTGCATTTTGCGCAAATTCATTGCTGTTGTTATTGCATTTATTATGAGTGTTTGTGCTACACTAGCAAAATTGCCGGCACAAAGTCGCCGATGTACTCGTAAAATTCCCTAAACGTTCTTAGCCAAGCGTATAATATACAAATTTCCACCACGAGCACCACCAACTGCCCGCAACCCCGAAAATCTCCGCTTCACCTGCATTTTGTTCAGGTAGTTTTTGGAGAGCGTGCGCTAGAGAGGATATTAAACAGCCATTATCCTTTTAGCAAGCGCCACTTACAAAAACAAAATGTGAAAAAAAACCGCTAAGTTGCTTTGCTTCAAAGTTTTCACAAAAAGTTCGGTTGTAGTTACTGCATTTATTGCCCAAGGAGGCCAAAACTTTAAATGTGTTTGTGTGTGTGAGTGTGTGCATAATGTGTTGAAAGGCACAGCAAATGCGCGCGTTAARCGCCTCAGTAGGATGCGAGCGGGAAGGGAGGTTAGCGCTTGCTACAAGGCTTTTTCGCAGGAATCTGCAAGAAAGTTAGCAAGTGGCATTTTGTCTGTCATTTCGAGCAGAAGCCACTCGGTGCCACAGACATTTTAGTAATGAAATCTCTATGTGCATCTACAGTTGAAAAACTATATACACAAATCACATACATATAAGCACGTTTTCGCAGCAGAARAGGTCACTGAATTTGGTATGAGACCTCCACACGCTTGCAATCAGTTGCAAATTTATGTTCTCGAAAGWTGTATGTGTTKKCTTAAGGCAGTGTTGCAGACATTTKCCCAGCGAAGAGCTGCAATCTGCAACGAATTACATCGATGCTGTAAAATATCAGATATTATATAAACAAAAACATAATTGATTTTTTACAAGATTTGATATTCCCTCGGTCAGATAGCAGTGTGGCGCAAACCACAAAAAATTGGGCGAGATCTGAATATCGAGCAAAAATTTAAACTAACTTAACGAAACTGCCCTCAAAACATTACTGATTGTCAATATTATTATATGCTGACACTAAATCCCAACGTTTTGTAGCTGAAAATGCTTTCGCTTTTATTATCTACACAACCGTAGTCACCCTCTCAACAACCGCCGTTACTTTACGTAAAAAACTTACTTTTGTGCATAAATCTTCCTTTTTTACTTTCTGCAAAGTTTTCACGTMTAGTGCAAATTTATCTTGTACAAATGCATATTTTTCAAATCGTACGCCTAGCCAGATGCGGCCAATGCATTACAAGCCGCTCAGTGCAGCGGTAGACCACCGCATATATCACCTTTTAAGGGTACACCACAAACCAAATCCCATCACAATTTATCATTTTCTGAAGTTTAATATGCAAGAGCTTAGTTTTGTTTGCATGCAAATCCCTTAACGGTGTAAGAAAGTTGCAACTGCATAAATGTATCAAGTGTTCGAGAGCAACCTTGCTGGAAAAATTTAACTACCAAAGGGTTCTCACATACTTCATTCGTAGACGCTATTTTTCATAAAAACACAAGAATATGCAAATAGGTATAATTCTATCTTAGTTGTTGAATAATAGTATTAAAAAAAAGTGCATAAAATAATCCTTGTTAGTTGGCACCCGTTGAGTCTATAATAATTATAATTGTTGCGAGAACTTATTATTGACAGATGTCATTATGAATAAGTTCATTATAAATAAACTTCCTTCTATAACAAAATACTTCCTACTTACACGTCTTTTTACGCCGAAGTATATTAAGTTTTCAACGAAGTTGGAACACCCAGAAGCAAAAGTCGGAAACCATAGAAATAGTAAAAATAACTGATCAGCAATCGATCAGCTGAGTCGATTTAGTCTATTCAGCTCTACGATACACGCAATAGAACCTAGGTCGCAGTGCAATACCTCAGTTTTAATTCAGCTTTTTAATCAACCATTGTACCGCTGTAAGATAAAGCTGATATACAAAATGATCTATCAAAATCCAAATCGATATGGAAAACTCTTTTAATTGACAATATATCTTCACAAAATTTGACTTGTATTATTTTTCAAGACAACGGTGCGATCTCAGAACGTTCAGCTTGGACCTAATACAGCATATAAATGGTGATTAATCTCGAGGCTTCCTACTTTTTTATAGAAAAAACACAGAAACTTCAAATGGATCATTCGAAATAATATTCTTGGTGTTTATTTTTTGAGGATTATCTTTTTCAAATGCTGGCCACGGCTACGTCTCAGATGGTACATACTTTGAGTTAAATTTCCGACGACTCATTCGAGCATTTCAACTGGCAACTGGCAACTGGCGAAAGGCACACGTGATGTTTTATTCCAAATCCTGAAGTTGTCTTTAGTCTTTACATATCGATATAGGAAAAAGACTAACGGTGTGATATCATACGATTTTGCTTTCCAATCGACCGGTTCACAACGTGAAATTATCTGCGCATCGTTCTCTCCATTTATTGATCCATCTCAATCCATTGATTGAAGCGATGTGTGGGAAGTGGCGCCGTCTTGGTGAAACCAAGTGTCGTAGAGATCACGAGCTCCAATTTCAGGCAACAAATAATCGATTATCATGACGCGATAACGGCCTAGAAATCTCCTCAAGTTGCTATTCTTCCCAAATGCGGCTATTTTTCTTCTCAGAAATGGGTTTCGCCGTTTAACAAAATTTGGCTCGAAAGCGTCGGATCTTTTGGAACTTTATAAATCATCCAAGATACATCGAGTTGCTGCGAACGGTGCTGAATCGACTGTCCACGGTCTTGGTGACCAGTCTCAGCAACGGCTTCTATACTTTCTTCAATATGTAAACGTTGTTCAGCGTAAGTCTTTCCATGATAAAATGCCAAACAATATTGAACAAAAGTAACATGACTGCTTGAGACGACTCATGCGTGATCTGTCAAATAAAGGCTATTGAAAAAAGKACCTCTTCTTGTATCTCCCGTTATGGAGCTTTCATACAAACTGGTCGATCATAATCAAGATCCTTTTAAACTATTTTATGCTGTAAGAAAGGTAATATAACTTTCTTGTTTTATTTTGTTTACGAAAGAGAAGGGATTTACTGTAATGTGAAATTAGCTGGGGACTTCTAATTTTTTCATGTGTCGTTAATAGCTCCAGAGTGGTTCCAAACAGCTAATGTATTTATTTAAAGAATTAATGAATTATTGAAGAAATATTAGCAAAACGTCAGTTGGCTTCGTAAAAAATTATATTAGCATTAAAAACTCTTTGTGCTACCTTGAATAATGTATCAGTTTCTTATAGTTCACCCATCTTATGAAATAAAAGAAAATAATAATCAGACAAAAAATAGAAATTGGATAATTTATAAATGCAGACAATGAAAGAAACAAAACAATTAAAATTGGGTCATCATCATTTGTAAGTAACCCAATTTTTATCGTTTGGAACATTTTCAGAGATAACTGTAATCTACTTTTTTGAACACATGCCAAAGTAATCATAAAACTGTGCAGCCGCATTCAGTGGCACTGTTTCTCCGCAATTGTTGTACTTGTTACTTCTCATCACAGTTGTTTTTGGTGTTGTTGGTGCTGTTGCTGTTGCTGTTGCTGCCACTGTCATCTTTTCATTTTCATTTAGTTTCGAGTTTTCAGTCCATTGCTTTTGTTGCACTTCCCACTGCTGCTGTTGTATTTTGCTGACATTCCTGCGCCATTTTTGATGCAATGCAGCAAATTGCTTTTCACTCATCCGCTTTATAAGCCCAAAGGAAACAAAAGAATTGTAACAAGCTCTATCTGTGTGTCTGCCAATTAACCTACATGCATATAAATGTTGCTAAAAACATATTGAAAATTTAACAGCTGGTGGTTTGCAAGGGTCATACTGGTTGGCCACAGATCAAAGCAGATATTTTSGTATTTCTAATCAAAAAAATGCAAAATAGCTTCGTTTTGAATTTGTTTCTTGTTTTTTATCATTATGTCTTCAACTGAATACTTTTATACTCTTTAGTAAGAAAAAGTTGTTTTTGATATTTTTTCTAGATAATATATTAGTCTTTTTTGCTTAGAAGATTTTGGATTAAGGGTAATCTCGCCTGTTTCTTGACATTTTTTTTTTCATAGAAATTTTTATTCTACGATAGAACTTTTTTCACATATCATGAGGTATATCGTGGAGTGTGTAAGCAAATGTTTTCGAAATGTTTTGATGACATCTGACGGAGAAATGGCTGGGTGAATGAGATGCGTTTTTGCACTTTCGGACACGATTTCTCTTGTTTRGATCATCTGAAACACAAAAACTCAATTGATTCTTAAAAAGTACGTGAATGGGTATCAWCCCTACTAGAATCATGAAAAAATGTTGATAAATAAAAATGTAATTGACGTTTTTTTTYAATTTTTCCCCATGTTTTTTCACATAAATTTTGTTATAACATTGTCAATAAATTATAAAACATTATGAATCTAGTAGGGACGATAGYCAGGCGTTTTGTGAACATTTTAAACGAAACATTAAGCRAATCGGATGAGTAGTTTGACCGGAATCATACCCGCCAATTTAAATCATTTTTTTCAATCACTCTTAATTTTTTTTGTAAAAATGTCTGCCAACATCCCAATTTATTTTCTTCGTCCAAATTTAACGTTTTTTAGATGATGCAGTTGTTGATGTTTGTAAGAACAAAAAATTCTCATTAAATATTTAA